CACACACGCACACGCACCCTGTGCCCCCCCACCCTGCTTTCCCAATGGAGGAGTGGGGACCCTACCACCACAAAAGAGACATGGACCCATTCCATCTGTGTGTGAACTGTTTCTCTCACTTTTTCTCTTTTGCTATCACTATTTTTCTACCTGCAGTGCCCTCCCCATCCCTTATTTCCGACCATACTATAGCAGCCTTAAATGTCCCGTCACATATTGACTGAGGGCAGCTTCAGCTAATGTTCAGAGGTTGGTAGTTAAGCCACTCTCAGTCAAATGTGCCAAGTATGCTGATTCCTTTAGTAGCCACCCAGACTTACTTTAAGACACTTAACTAGGTTAAGACCTGCCACTTTTATGATGATTATTAAGTAGAAGCCTGTGCCCAAGCTCATGTAAGTTAATTATCCCATAATCTCACCCACTAAAACCCCTACCATATCGGGTTTCCGAAACTGTACATCGTTATAGGTAGCCTAATCTTTCTTCAGAGGTGTGTGCCTGGTCAGTTTGAACCACCAGCCTTGTGATTAGCCATCAGTGCTTATGCAGAAGAATGACCAGGGCTCCCTAAAGTCTAGAACAGATAGGGTAATAACATGTTAAGACTACCCACTATACTAAGATCTATTGGAGTGTAGTAGAAACCCAACTAATGATCTCCAGCATAAAGAATGATATAGTCTCCTAAATTGGCAAAGTTTAAGCATTTACATTTTGTTTCACTTGCTTCTGTAAACATTTATTGAGGGCAGAAGAAGTTGAATTAAATTAGTAAACTAACCACACAAAAACCTCTGCTCGGCAAAGCATACATTCTCATAGCAGAGACTGTAAGTTTAGATGTTTGTCAGAAGGTGATAAATGTTTTGTTTAAAATATATATATACAAATTAAAGAAACTGGGAGAGCCAGCGAGTGAAAATAAAGGGGGTACAATATTAAACAAGGAGTTAGCGTGGGCCTCATTAATGTGCTGACATCTGAGCACAGTTTGAAAGGAGGTGAGAAGGCTGAGGGCATGAATACCTGGATGATTTTTTTCAGACTGAGGGAATGGACTGATAGATCTGGCATTCAATGAATGACAAGAAGATTGTGCAGCTGGGGTGAAATAAAGTAGGGGGTGAGCAGCAAGGCTCGAGTCTAAGAAAGCTGGGCACAGAGGGCGGTACCGGTCAGGTGGAGCCTTACAGAACGGACTTTGGCTCAACATGAAATGGAAGGAAGCAGTGCAAGGCTTTGAAAAGAATGATAGGATCTCCTTACGTCATAAATCAGTTCAACTAAATAGGAAATGTTATAAGTTGTTAAAGTTTTAAAAATCTTACATCAAAGGCCTTAAGAAATTTGAAAAGTAAGCATTGAAAAATATGCTGCAGAAATTAGTAAACAGAAAGCAATAGCTACAGAATTAAAAATCTAACAAAACCAAATGCTGCACCAAGGAAGGGTTAAATTCAAGTCAAATGCCCTGCATTGGGTCAGTTCCAACTCATTGCTACCCTACAGGACAAAGCCGTGCTGCTCCATAGGGTTG